AATCTATTTGAGGCTTTTACTTTTTTGTCTCAATAACTGGTAATTTATATTGCTGATTTTCCATAGTAATGTCTTTGAAGGCTTCATTTTGCTAAAAAAAAAAAGAGCTAGTATTTATATGTGTGTATCACAAGTTGCCCCCTACCCAATTTTTTGGTATATCTTGCTTTTTCTAATAGTTCTTAATGTGCTATATATCAGTTAGTACATAAATGCTATTCATACAGAATTAGGCTTGTGTGTGTTTGTCCTCCTTTGGCTATTCATGTATTTGCATGCTAAGAGACAAATTTGATACTGAAAATAAATATGAGATTTGCAACAAAATGCAGCATTATATAATCACTACATCCTATTCTTCATTTTATTTTGAATTGCTTACAGTTTGCGTTGCAGGGCTGCTTTCCATGCTAATTCTCATTAATGGTTTGGATTTTTAATTTTTTTTCCTTTTGAATATTTCTGCACACGTTGGTTTTCAAGAGTGTTGAGATCTTCCTCTTGTTTCTGAGTAATCATTTTGATTCTGAATTTGTTGAGACTTATTAATTATTAAGTTCTGTGTTTTTAGACATAGCCGTTGCTGTGTCTAGGTCTAATCAGAGTATATCAGTGAATGCAAATACCTTATGTAAAGTATTTCAACAACTCTATACAAGTAGTCCTCTGTTTACAACCATTCATTTAGTAACTGTTCAAAGTTACAACAGCACTCAAAAAAGTGACTTATGACTATTTTTCACATTTAAAACTGTTCCAGTATCCCCATAGTCACATAATCAAAATTCAGATGCTTGGCAGCTGGCATATATTTATGACGGCTGCAGTGTCCTGGGCTGTTGTCATCACCATTTGCGACCCTCTGACAAGCAAAGTCAATGGGGAAGCCAGATTCATTTAACAACTGTTTATTCACTTAACAACTGCAGTGATTCACTTAACAGCTGTGGCAGGAAAGGTTGCAAAATGAGGCAAAACTGACTTAACTGTCTTACTTAGCAATGGAATTTTTTTTCTCAGTTGTGATTGTATGTTGGGGACTATATGACCCTGAACTACCGTATTTCTGATTTAAATGTAGCCATGATCTAGAGTGACATATATTTTTTGTGTCTCTGTAGAATACCCTCTAAATCCTAAATCTAGATCTCCGCGAATGCTGATTATTAAAAAAGGCAATACAAAAGATTTGCAGATATCTGGATTTCCTGTGGGAGGAAATATTCATTCATCACAATTGGTTGGGAATGGAACTGGCCTGAATGTCTACAAAGGTTTAGTTCCTAAACCTATTATTCCACCAGCAAAGGTAAGATTTGAAAATATTGTACTTACTAAAAATAAAAAGCAGATAAAAATCCAACTTCTCCACCTTTTAAAAACAGAGCTGCCAATTCTATCACAGAGAAGAAGAGGAGGGTCATTCTCATACATGTGGAAATCATTCTCACTTGCATGAACAGCAAAGAAGGGGAGGGGGCAGAGTGGTGATGGAATGGAGAAACAGTGGCTATGCTAGAAAAGAAAAGTGGAAAACAAATCTGGATGGAAAAATAACAGATGGATAAGAAAGGGAGCAAAGCCCTGCTTAAACATTACAAAATGCATTTAGTTCACCAGGCAAATGTCCCCTGTGCTCCTATGTGATGACTAATTGTGATGCTAGGCTTCAAAGGAATCTGTGCTTTCCCATTTCTGTTACTGTATGGTTGGTTAGCCCTTGACTTATGACCATAATTGAGCCCACACTTTCAGTTATAAGTCTTGATGGTTGTAAAGCAGGTCATGATGTGACCAGACCCGATTTTATGACCAGTTTTGAGGCAGTTTTTAAGCAAATGTGACAGTTGTTAAGTGAATACACTGTTCACTATGGGTCAGTTTTTGCCAGAAAATGGAAATAAATGCCAATTTCCAGCAAAAACATGAATCACAGTCCCATGATTATGGGGCACTGCAAATAGCTGTAAATGCGGGCCTATAGCTGAGTGCTCAGAATGCAGTCAAGTTACCATGGGGGAAAGGTTGGAACTTCAAATTTGGATTATAAATCCCTTTTTCGGGATCTACTGTGATTTGAAACAGTTGCTAGGCAGCTGGACATAAGTTTAGGACCACCTCTAGCCATTTCTACCTTTGCCAATCCACTGTTTTTTCAAGATGCCTTCTTGTTTTCCCAGTGAATGTAAGAAGACACCTAAGTACATGCTTCATAAGCTCTGGGGGTGGGCCTGGGCGATATCTTCCTATTGGAAAGTACAGTAAGGCCTGAAAAGTGGATACTTTAGGGACTTTTCTTGCAATGTTGATCTTACTTTGTAACAGTACTGTAATATGAAATTGCATATATTTATCAATAGTTTTAGTTTTACTCATTGCTGGCTCTTCCTTTTATTTCTTCCCCAGTATAGGGACTTTTTCTTATCTTTGCTGTTTTAAAATACCAGTATATTATGTTGTTAAGGAAAATAAAAGTAAAGAACAGTTAAGTTATTGTTGGACACTAAGTTGTTTCTCAACTTGAGTTTAAAAATCTACTATTTTGATACATTTAGATCACACAGTGGAAAAGCCAAACAAAAGAGAACAAAACTGGGCCTTCTTCATTTCCTCATGACTCTGCATATGGTAGTGGAAATTTTAGTGCTTTAAAACCTACTGCCAAGCCTATTGGATCACACAAGTCAGTGAAAGAGGTACTTTTTTTTTGTCAAAGTATGTCTCTATCACAATTTTGAAAAATTAAATGGAAGATCTGAAACAATCTATGCTACCTAAAAGGAACAGAATTTTTTGCCACTCATTACATTTCTTTTTCTCTTTAGTGTAATCGGTCAAATTCCTTATCTCCAGTTGATAAACTTGGCCAGCCTCGTTTAACCAAATTAACACGCACACGCACTGATAAGAAGAGTGAATTTTTGAAGATGTTAAAACGGGATCCAGTGGAAGAACATGATGAAAATTGTGTTGAGCAAGAGAAGGTACAACAAGTTGTGTGGGGAATATGTTTGTTTTTCCATTACTTATTTTTATGTCATCGCTAAGGAACGTAAGTTCCTAATAGTGTTTATTTATTGCTTTTTCACATAATAAAATGTTAAACCAGAATACAAACCAAAAAGAATAGCATAAATTATAAAAAAAACCTAGTTAAATGTTAGGGAATAAAAAGGCAATGTATGCATAATATCAGTAATTAGTTATAAAACTTTATAGTTATACTCCTTTGCACAACTTTGTAGTAGTGAGCTCAGTTGAACTTGATGAGACTTCTGAATAAATATGCGTAGCATGTTTAGGATTTACATAATAATGGGTATGCATTAGCAGCATATATGTGATTTTATTAAGTCACTTAATCTAGCCTTTAGCTCAAGGACCCTTGGATTTTTTAAGGTAGAATTTTGACAGCACGATGTGAGTATTCATAAGGGTTGGGAAAACAAGCAGCAGTACTGCTTAATTTTGTCCTTTTTCTGTGCTGATAAGCATACTTCTAAGAAAGCTTATGTGTTTAGAGTAGGCATGTCAAACTCGCGTCGTCCCGTGACGTGCAACGTATTGTGACTTTTTCCCCATTGCCGGCAATGGGGTGGGTGCAGTTTCGGTGTGACGCATCTGGCCCATGGGCCGGCAGTTTGACATGCCTGGTTTAGAGTTATTTTGTACATAGAAACAATGAAAAATGTAAAGTAGTAAAATAAAAGCAAATAGGTTACACGTGTGCTTGCTATGTTGCGGATCCTTCATATTTTTGTGATACTGTAGAGTTGTTTTTTTAAAAGAAGGCTCCATTTAGTTATGCGGTTTACGGAGCCTCCTTAAAAAAATACTCTGGAGTATCACCAGAATTGAACCTATTGCAAAATAGGAGGAATTTCCCAGGAAACTGACTGTGTAAGAAACTGAACCTTTCAGGGCCTAGTGCTTCTCTTAGCAACTGAAAAAACAGAAAAATAAGTTGTGTACTGCTGTGCCCTGAAGCAGGCGTGAGTCCTGCAAGTCCTTGGGTGGGGTGTCCTCTTCCTTGCCAGAGTTTGCAAACTCCCAGTGTGCTTTGCTTTTTCCTTCTTTGCCAGAGTTTCCAAACTCTGTTTGCCCTGATCTCCCTTTGCCTGCTGGATGGGAAAGGAAGTTGAAGGATTGTAGGAACCCCAGCGAGGAGCAGAACAGAGGATGCCTTGGGGTGGGGATAGTATTGTGAGGACTGAGGCAGGCAACCATTGCCCTGTGCAGGCTTCTCAGGGCCTTCCCCCACACTGAGGCACCCTGTACTTCATTTAATGACACTCTTGTTTGTTGAATGTTTGCATCAGGAAGAGCATGGAATGGGGTCATTATGTGCAGCTGTTTCACTTAACAACTGTTGCGACATGCAGCCGTAATGGGGCAGGCTCCGTTACGTTTGATTCTAAAGGACTACCTGTAACTTAGTTTTTCCTTACATGTGTAAGAACAGATAAAACAATTATTAATTGCTTTGCTGTACATTCAGTATCAGGATTTTTACCAGAGAGCTCTTATATTCACCTGTAAAGTGGGGAAGGTGCTTTTGACCTGGTACGGGTCTGATTCATTAATGTTTATTGAACACATATTTTCCTGGGACTGCAATTGTGCAAGACCAAGAAAAGGCACAGTTCCTTTAAAATGGTGCTGTTAGGTACAGCAACAGCAACAGTTAGGTATGTAGGGTCTAAAGCACTTTCCCAAGTCCAATTCAAATATCTGCATATTCTTAGGGACAAAGTTTAGCCTTTCCTAATTTTGGCATTTTCCAAACCTGTCTACAACTTACTATTTGTAAATTTTTTTTCTTTTTGGAATTTACTCAGATATGTGACTTCTTTAACAGGATGATGATGATGATGAATTTAATTTACATAACAGCAACAGTGGCCACCAAGGGAGGGACGTAAACCGGAATTTTGAAAATGAGAATCCTCAGCAGATGATCCAGTCTTCAGCATTTCCGCAGACTGATATCCTTTCGAGTTCACTTGAGGCAGAACATCGGTAAGTATTTTGGTTTTATTAAAATAATTTTATTCATTGGTAGGAGACAGAAAATGTTTAATGTTTATTATACGGGATTGAGTTGTTTTAATAGGAGTTGAATAATTTGGGTACAGCATTTCTTATCTAACACATAACTTAAGTAGAAATGAGAAATAATAACAGATAGCATAGTATAAAAATATACTTAAATGAAATAACAATTAGCAACTATAAGGGGAAAAAGTGTGTACTAGAATGGTTTTTTCTATAATGCCTTTCCCCCCCTTTTAGGGGGGTGTTTGTTTTGCTTTTCTAAATTTGTTTTATAGTAATCACATTTTTTTACTTCAACTTTAATGTAAAGTTTATTTTATATATGAATATATGTATATCCTTTCCATTTGTTTTTTTTTTGTTCTTTAGAAGACTACAGAAGCCATGCATTTTTAATTTTTTTATTAGTTAGGTAAAACAGCCACAAATATATATATAAAACCAGCCTTTTCTTCCTTTCTACATTAAACTACATTTGGCCATAATTTAAAAAACAAAAAGCTATCTGTGGACCATTTATTAGAATAATCTATCTTTAAATTGTTATTTTAGTTATTTCATTTTTTAAAGAAAAGTCAAGATAAACAAATTATATGAGCAAAATAGGAGCAGGAATCTGCATTTTTCTTAATTCTGAGCATACTGTAATGCTTCACAAAGTAATTTATGAGAATATTTTAAAGACCTAAATCCCTGATGTGCAATTCAATTTACAGATGGGCTCTGTAGAAATCTGAGTCTGAGGCGTATTATGGAGTTTTTAATTGGCTTTACATGCCTATATGTATGCCACCTTAAGCTTTTACTAAAAGGCAGGATATAAATCTAATAAAAAATATTGACCCTTCTCCCTTTTTTAAAAGGTTGTTAAAGGAAATGGGTTGGCAGGAAGACAGTGAAAATGATGACACTTGTGCTCCACTAACTGAGGATGAAATGAGAGAATTTCAGATCATTAGTGAACAGGTAAGATAAATTAGCCCAAAATGTGTGTTCAGAATAAAACATTTTCTATAGCAAAGTATAGATCAGTATATCTGTTTAATATTTCCTAAAGTTAATTTCTGTACCCTGTTGTTGGTATAACATTTGAAGATTTCAAAGGCCAGTGAAGCCTGATCTATTTAATTTTCTATGCTTTGTTGTGAAATTCTAGAAGGGTTTACACACGTGCTGAATTATATTTTGGCAGCACGTGAAAAAAACCTGAGAAAGCTGTTGACTTGCCCTTTCTTTGAAATAAACCAGGATTCTAACTCTCAATCTGGTTATGTCTTGATACGTGGATCAGGATAATTAATTTTAAATAAATTCTAATTAGCTAAATAAACCAATTTCAGACCATGAAGAGGAGAGAGGAACAAAGTTTCTGCTTACATGTTACAGTAAATCAATAATGGACAATTTTTAGTAGCCTGAGGATTGTACCTAAAATGCATAGAAGTCTCAGTAGGAAAAGAGTGTAATGGCTCTTCAAAAAGCAAAGCATTATTTTATAATATTTTAAGTGTGCACAATTCTTTTACAAGGAAATAGTCATTGGTTTGAAATGCAAAATAGTAGCTGACCCTCTCAACTATTCAGTAGGGTGGTTAATATTCCATTTTTCTTGCTTCACAATTCTTCCTTCTCTTTTGACTTTTATAGCAGTTAATTGACCTATCCCAGTGGTGGCGAACCTATGGCACGGGTGCCAGAGGCGGCACTCAGAGCCCTCTCTGTGGGCACGCGTGCCATCACCCCAGTCCTAGGCCTTCAGCTGGGTTTTATAAAACCTTTTCGCTTTAGGCCTCCACCACCGTGTACAAAAAAAAAAGGTTCAATCAATCAGTCAATTTCAACTTCTCGGGGTGGGGAAGTTGGATTGATTGCAGTGATAACTGCTGTTATCACCGCAGCCACGCCCACCCAATGGGCCACACCCACCCAATGGGCCACACCTACCCGGCACCCGACGATGCATAAGTGGGTTTTGGGTTGCAGTTTGGGCACTCATTCTCTAAAAGGTTCGCCATCACTGACCTATCCTGTCCTATTAGGCTTTTTCTAGTGCCTATCACATGTTAATAATATCAGTGGAGATTATTATGTTTGTGATGATAAACATAGAAATGAAAATGAAAACCAGATATCCACCTAAGTTTTATTGCCACCTTGCAGATTCAAAACAAGCATGGATAGCTGCCTGTCCTCCAACATAACTAAGTTTTTTTTACCTATAAGTTCTTTATTTAATGATGGTTCAAAGTTATAAAGGTGTCAGAAAAATTGATTTACAACCTGTTCTTGTAGTTATGATCATACCAGCCTCATAATCATGTGATCATAATTTGTTTGTCAACCAGCTTACATTTATCACCAGTTGCAGCATTCTGCAGTCACATGATTGCAATTTGTGATCTTCCCAGCCCTTTCCCCCCCAACAATGTCAATTGGAGGAGTTGGATTCACTTAATGACCACATGATTTGCTTAATGACTATATGATTCACTTAACAACCACAGTAAAAATACTCATTAAATTGGGTCTGGTTCCATATCTCGCTTTATGACCTTACTAACTTACAACAGAAAACCCAGTCACAATTATAGTCTTAAGTTGAGGACTACTTGTACTCAAATACTTCAATTACAGTCTACTCCTATTATTTCCCCCATCTGGTCTGATTGGGACTCAGTCAGAACTTACTCTACTCTTGTGGGATTTCCTTTTGGTTCATTAAACTTAAGATTGTTCTTACTTATTTCAACTCTTGCCCTTCTTACAAGACTGGAAGATAAGAGTAGTGATTATCATTCCTTACTTGAAGGAGTTTCAATTTTGTACACTAGAAGGATATTTTAATTACTATTTTCCGCTCTAAGTGAAAAAAATATTCCTAAATCCTGGCTTACTGCACAATAATCAACCAAAAGATTCACAGATGCTCAAAATTAAAACAAAGCTGTATACTATTAAAAATATATAAAGCTATATTTTGTTGACAATTATAAAACTCCAAAAGTGAAGATCCTTTGTCATTTTGAGAGTGCTAATTCTGTTTGTTTTCTATTTCAGTTGCAAAAAAATGGCCTCAGAAAAAATTGTATTCTAAAAAATGGTCTCATCTGTGACTTCAAGTTCAATCCCTGGAAAAACAGCACTTTCAAAGCAATGCTTGAGAATGAAGATACAGAGACAAGCAGCAGTGACACATCAGATGATGATGTGTGAAGAGTTGACGATTTGTACTGCATCTCATGCAATTTCAGAAATGTTGAAAAAAGGAGAACTATACTCTTATGTAGTGATATGCACCAGTAGAAGGAGGATCTTTGGACTCCTCATGAAGGAACCTAAGATTGTTATGCTAATGAGCTGTGTTGAACCTGATTTTTAATTTCTTTGTAAATGGATGTTGTAGAAAAGAGAACTTTTTTCCACATTGCCTTTCTTCATCACTGCAGCATTTCTCTGACTAGCAATGTGATAATGTAAGAAAATGAGATTTTCTCATTTAATAATAATAAAAAAAGATTATGTAATATTTGGCAAAGTTTTGTCTTAAAACTGTGCAGGTGTAAGGGATAAAATGGCAGCTTGACTCAGTATGTTGCTCACTGAGGCAGATTTATTTTACAATGGAAATTTTGAGTGCTCACTTTGTGCACAGACAATATACAGGGAAGCATGTCTGCTAACAAAAGTGCACTAAAACATCTATTTCCTGAACTGTTACAGTTCTACTTCTTGAAACAAAGCAGTAATTCTCTAGCAGTTTATTCTACAGTAATTATGAAAAGACTTGCTTCAGTTCCAAATTTTATGGAAGTGGTGTAAATCAAAAGCTTTATTTGGATGCTGCAAGACCCAGGAATCTGGATCCTACAAAATTGGTTCTGATCCTTGTGGGGAAAATAAATATTATTTTGATAAATTATTCCGATGCAGAAAGTTTATTTCTTGGGCTGGATCTATCCAACATGTACAAAATAAAAACTCTTAGAATTTTGAAACATTCCACTGAATATACTCATCTAAATTGTCTGTTATTCAAGATAATTTTCTTTTCAGAATTAATCGTGGCTATTTTGTGTCGTGCACAACAAATAGGTTTGTTCTGCCTCTTAAAATAGAACACTAGCTTCCTGATTAGTTATTTAGAATTCAGGAGTAAGGGTGGATGCAGTATCTTCTATAAATTTTATATAATATCTAGTTTATGGTTTGGTATTTGGTCTCTGCTTTAAAATGGAAAACAGTCACTTTGTAGAAACTATAAAATTTAACAACTTGCCTATACTTGCAATATTTAGATTTTTGATAAACGAATTCTTTGATTCTGCTATGCAAAGGAATATTTTCACAGAAATCAGCATTTTTTTCTTTAAGGGAAACTTGGTGGAATGATGAAGAGGCTCTGGACGAGAAGTGCAGAATATAGGTAGTCTTCGGCATACAACCAGAATTTCCATTGCCAAGCAAGGCAGTTATTAAGTGAGCTTCCTACTATTTTATGACCTTTGTTGCCAGAGTTGTTAAGGGATTCACTGCAGTTGTTAGGTGACTTATGTGGTCATTAAGCCAGCCTGGCTTCCTTCATTGACTTGTTTGTTGGAAGCCAGTTGGGAAGGTTGCAAATGGTGATCACATGACCCTGGGGCACTGCAGCAGTCATAAATACATGCTGGTTACCCAGCACCTTAATTTTGATCACCTGACCATGGCAATGCTGCGTAGGTATGAGTATCACTTGCAAGTCACTTTTCCAGTGCTGTTGTGACTTTGAAGAATCACTAAATGAATGGTTGTAAGTCAAGGGCTACCTGTAATGGCTGCAAAAAATGAGGATGAGAAATTATTGCACAATACGGCTACAAAGAAAAGGTGCAGAGAATGCAGTCAAGAACAAGAAACAGTCAAGATTAAGAGAAAATCCTGAGCAATTTTGATGGAAATAAAAATGGAAGTGAATGAAGAGGAGCCTCTAATAAAATTAATAGAAACAAAGTTGGTGAAATGTTTTGGCACAAGCAAATGAAGGAATGTTGGAAGAAATATTTTTTGGAAATTTGTTTGGAACCCTGATGATGTAGTATCCAAGAAATATTTTTTGAAAAGGAGCGTACATGCTAGTGAGAACATTGAAAAATAAAATCTGCAGATGTAGATTGTGTAAGCAGAATAATATATCTGGTTTGCTTATGGAACGGCTGTGTATAAGAGGCAGCTGTATACATGCCTTCCTTATCATTGAAAGAAGGCAGTTATTTTCCTGCAAGGCAGGAAAAGGTGTGAATACAAAAACTACAGGGTGTTAATTTGTCAGTGGGACTCTGGCAAAATTCTCCAAGAAATATAAGCGACGAGCAGAATTACAAAAGGGTAGTGCAGGCAAGGCAAGGATGTGTGAGGAATTCAACAGGCTATCAAATCTCTTCTTCCCACATTCCTGCAAATTCTTACAAATAACATTGTATATATTTGTTAATATAGAGAAAATATATAAAAAGTCAATAGGATTGAATTATGGAATACTTTGAGTAAGGAGGTAGCTTACTGAATGACTACAGTGGGTTATAGAGTGTAGAGCAGGGGTGTCAAACTGCCGGCCCATGGACCGGATGTGTCACGTGGAAGCCGCACCCACCCCATTGCCAGCAATGGCAAAACCGGCCTGATATGTTGCGCGACGTCATGTGATGTCGCGAGTTTGACATGCCTGGTATAGAATAATAGGTCTGGAAGAGACTGCCAGGTCTTCTAGTCCAATCTTCTGCTCAAGGCAGGAGATCTTAGACCATCCAAGTCAAATGGTTGTCCAGTTTATTTCTGAAAGTCTCCACTGGGAAGTAAGCTATTATGACAGAAGTAAAACACATTTGATAATAAATGCTTATAGAATGTTTTGGTGATTTAATGTATTAACATCTGTTTATAAGGAATGCTTTTGATAATACAGTAGAGGTAACTTGGGGACATGAGCATACAGATGATGATCGGTTGGCTGAGAACCCAAATGATTTGCAGCAAATGTTAAATTGTATGATGTATTGTGGAATATACATCAGAAATACGATAAGAAGCAGTACATTTTTGCACAGCTCTGTGCAAATCTTTAATACAGGCCACTGAAGCAATCAGTTTTGACATTTGGTGCAAAAAACATTCCATTGATCTGAAGAAATGGTCCATTGACATCCGAAGTTGTAATGAAGGTTGCACTGTGCAAAGCCTGCACCTTCAGTGGATTCTGAAAATGAATTTATCAAATATCAAGGTAGTTATGGCTGGGTAAATGGATCAATTGTAAAGCATACAAAAATAGTGAAAAACTACAGCAAGTAAATCAATGTATGTACCTTAATAAGACATGCATAATGTTGGACTGTAGCTACAGATAGTCTTCACTTAATAATGGTAACCGGGACCAGAATTTCTACTGTTAAACAATTCAGTCATAAAGTTTGATATCACATGATCACTTTGCTTAGCAAAGAGCATTCCAGCACTTCCAGTTTGTCATTAAGCGAATCCCCCCAGGTCATTAATTGAAGACATCACATGGTCACCATTTGTGACCCCATGCCAGTTTTCTCATTGCCTGTAGGAATTCAGCAAAGAAGGTCGCAAATGGCAATCACTTAACCATGGGATGCCATGACATTGTAATTGCAAACTGGTTGCTGAATGCCCAGATTATGATTACATAACCATGGAGATGCTACGACCATAGTAAGTATGAGGATGGGTCTTAAAAGTACCATTGATTCACCGCTGTTGTAAGTTTGAATGATCGCAGAATGAGTGGTTGTTAAGGCTGCATGAGGAATAGATGTAAATGTTTACAACTGATCATGATTAAAAGGAATATACATCATCTGGATTTTCTAAAGCTTGTGGAAGACACAAAGCAAAAAATTGTTTTCCTCTAGAACAGACATGGCAGTTTTACAGAAATAAAGTATAAAATGCAAAAATGTTTGAATAATTTATAACTTATCAAAAAAGCATGTTGCTCTTCAGAAGTGAGATATATTTCAAAATGGCATTTACATCTTTAATGTGACAATATTACCAACTCATCTTACATGTGCTTATTACATTTATTTGCTGGCTATCTCATTTCAAAGCAATTCTGGGCAGCTTACAGCATTAAAAGCATTAAAATCACACACAATAAATACTTCTAAAACAATAAATATGGAGATTACAATGAAAATTAGAAATATAGTTAAAAGATGGGGAGGGGGGGAGCAGGATGCCCAGGGCAGGGTGGGTAGGATTGCCTCTTAATTCATCAGCCCTCTAGTGTCATGTTCCCCATCAGGGCCCCAGGTCATCTGGTAGAGACATGACTTAACATATTCTCAAATTTATTGTTTATGTCAGCGGTTCTCAACCTTTGGGTCGCAACCCCATTTGGGGTCGATCGACCATTTCACGGGGGTCGCCAAGCAAGGCTGTCCACCATTTTTTCTCCCTTTTCCGGCAGGTGCCTTACCTCCCTTGAGCTGGGCCAGCTGGTGGTCGGCCTGCTCCGTCTCTGCCGCTTGCCAGCTATGCCTCAGCCGGCGCAGGGGGCGGAACCATGCATGCGTGGCGCTCCCGGGCAGGGAAAGTCCTCGACTTACGACCAGTTGGGTAGTCCTCGACTTACGACTGGTTTAGTCCTCGACTTACAACCGGTTGGGGGTCGCGGCATTAAAAAGGTTGAGAACCACTGGTTTATGTACTAAGAAAATTTATATGACCACCCAACTTACTGATGGTGACTTGGGGCAGCTTACAAAGATAAAAACCCAGTGCAAAAAAACAATAAAGCCCCATCCTGCTGGTGCTAACAGTCAGACAAACCATTTGATAGTTCCGTATCACTCGGGTCCCCTGGCCCATAGGCAGAACCATGTCTTAAGGGCCTTGCGAAAGAGTGTCAATATTACATCATCTTACATCATGAACAAACAATATCTACATTAGATACAATGTCTACTTCTCTGATAGATTGTTTGGAGCACCCAATAAACTCAAAATATTTTGATAATTTCAACCTCGAGTCCAAAGAATGAATTTAACATTTCTTAAGTATCCATTGATGTCCCATTACAGTGTTAACAAATTCCAACTCTTCTATAAATCATAAATGTCAACAATTCCAATTTTAAAATTTAGTTTCTGATAAAGATGACGTCAATTTCACAACAAATGAGGACGTGTCAGATTAGGGGATCTGATCTAAATTGAACTATCAAACGTTTCAGTCAATTATATTGCTGTTGTTGTGAATTAGGGAAATAAATCTGTAGTTTTTTGACGTTCCTTAAAATAATCATTCAAAATCAATTGATTTTAAATTACCATTCCAGACTGCCCATTATTTTTTAGCAAAACATTTTAGCACCTATTTTTCAAATAAAGTAGGAGTTTGAAGTTAACTAATCATGAAATTTTCCAACAAAATCTAACTACATCTATATTTTTAGGGCCTGAGTATATGCCCTCAAACTACGAAAGAAAAGCTGCTTTTTGCTCTATGATCCAAGTAATTGCCAAGATCTTAATGGAAATAAGTAATAACTTTCCAAGTCAGCCCAATTCAGTTAAGTCATCCCACATAAATACAGATGATAATGTAATATTTTTAAGTCTGATAAATGAAAACCACCTTTAACAAATTTCTCAGTTTAGAAAATTAAATTTTTGGTGGCCTATCTTTCCATATAAATAGAACTATTGTATCTATATTTGCTAAATTGGTGTCTTTCGCTTTAGGAATTATTATTTTGTGGTGTTAATAAGAACAGTTTTGAGTTTTTTGAACTGATGATCTTTGGGTATTTGGCACTCTTGCATTTTATTGGGGAACAAGATCCAGTTAGCCACCAGGTGGTGCTAAAACTATGATTTTGTAAAATGCACAGTACCTTATGCCTTATGCCTTATTTTGCTCTGCAATTCTTGCTTTCGTGTCAAAGGTTGGATCAGATGAGTTTAGTTAAGCCATTTGTGGTTTAGAATGTGTGA